ATATAACTACAAGCATTTCCTTCTTCGTCAACTATAGAAAAGTAAACTGTATCACTCGAGTTTTCGGGAGATCCTCTTTCAACATCAATTTTTGCCATTTTCGGATCAAAAAGGTTTGCACGCTTCGCGAGGTAATCCTAGGTATATTCTTTGATTGGATTTAAATTGCATGTATCAATGAAAAATTCTATTGCAAACCTTGGACAAAAGTTCCTTTACAGGAATAGGGTAAATCTCCGGGTCAGTAACATAATACTTTGAATCCTCAAATGCTAGGCGCAAACTTTCAATTACAGCATGTAGATATTCTGCTGAATTATGTTTCATATCACCAAGATCCTTAACCACGCCATTTTTCTGTAATGATTCCAAAATTCCTAAGGCAATTAGAGCCGTGATTCCTTGATTCAAGATAACAAAATATCCAAAGGCGTTATTTTTTCCCAAACTTTTGAATCATAATTGAAATTATTTCTACCAACCTTGTCCGTTTGGAGGGCATTCCCAAACGGTAAATCCCTTATAATCAATACATATAGGATCCACACGAGTACTAGTGTGAGAAGCTAAGTCTTCCAAAGACATGACACCTCCTTGAGATTGAACTAAATCCACGATAGCTTGAGCAATTCGACCTGTATAGTAAAACCTATTTTCTAGTCGTCCTCGAAGCCTAGGTATGATAACGTGTATGAAAACAAAAACAAACATATATTTCACACCTTTATAGAATCCGTCGCGACCTTTTTCCGCTAACTCCCGAAATGTTCTTTAAAAAAAAAAGCGATTAAAATAATCTTAATAGAAAAACCAATTTAATGAAGTACCTGGCTAGCTTTGGCATAAACATTATTTCACCAGTTTTCGGTGCACGTCCGTTTAATAGCATGTCTTTTCCGTTCAATGATAAGAGGTCTTGCCCATCCTTCCACTATTATGCAAAATAAATCAATCAATTATATAACAGTGAATCAAATTTATCCGAACGAAACACCAACCATCGAGGAGCTTATTTCCGAAACCGGAAATCCTTTTTCTG